ATACAGATAAGCAGTGATAAGTTAAGACATTATTGATCAGACACCATCTCTAGAGAGATGACATGCTTCTGCTGCCCTGTAATTACCTGAGGTCCTTATTGGTAATGATACTCAGTGGGTTTTGCCAAGAATAAAAGCGTAAAAGAATGATTACCAGGCCATTTTTTAGACTGGCACCAGCACGAGAAAAGAGGTGATGTTTTTATAACACTTGGAGACTCAAAATTACTTACAATATAATTAAGAAATAAACATGCCAAGGAGCAGACAACGTAATTAGAGTTCATTCTGCACTCCAAGGCAGTAGAGACACCAAAGTTACTTGGCCTTCCTTTAAGAAATGCCATATTTCTCATTTGTCACTTAATTCTTTCACCCTGTGCATATACATTTTGGTACCATTAAATGCTGATATTCAATATTCTTCTCTTATTTCCTGCTGCCTTTGGGCTGCAGGGTGGATGCCGGTGGGGTTAGGAAGAAACATACATGTACAGTCACATATGTGGGTTTTTTATGCTGTGTAATGCAGAAACCACTTAAAAATGTTTTTTTACATAACAGGTATAACACAGCTGCCTTTTTTTTTTTTTTTTTTAAATGAATACTCCAAAGGCAGTGATAGCAATGCATCCTCAGTACGTGGGAATTCATGAGCAGGGACAGAGGTTTGTTGGTGATGGGGAAACAGAAGCAGCTGGTGGAACGTGGCCCCCAGCCCTGCATGACTTTCCTCATGACTGATCTCAAGAAATCTTTCACTTGCAGTACAAGGGGATGGAGCATTTTCTATAAGGGTGAACAGGGAGAACCAGCAGGTAACTCTGAAATGGCTGAACTTCTGTGCTGTTCAGTGGTAGCATAAAGCGCAGGGATGTTGTCAGAAACATTCCTGTGGTATTGAAAATACTATTTTTTGTGACTAATAAGGTTGGGTTTCGAGTTGCTTTCTGCCAGAGAATAGGGGTGGATTAACATGAGCTTTGTCCTCTGCCCAGCTAAGCTGCTTTGTTGAAACTTGTAAGAATGTATTACCTCACAGATCCTTACTGCTCTGTTATCTTGAAATTGCCGATGCATTCAAATGTTATTGGGAGGCCCCTGCATAGACGAACACACACACACAGACAGTAGAAGCTCAAAGCTCTGGGAAACCTAGCTAAAAAGGACTTCCAGTGCAAGTTTCTTTAAATAATCTATTCAAACACACGAAGTTCATGAAACAGCGGCACAAATTGTAAGGCAGTTTACTTGAAACCTAATTAGTAATAGGTCTTTATCTATGCTGAGCTTGAAATCTGGTTCCTACGGGCAGGCAAACTAACTACTAAAATACACCAGTGATGGAGTTTAGCATTACAGCGTTACTCACCTTTATTGCTTAAAGCCAGCCAAATGACTCCAAACTATGATGGGAAGAGGTTGTGTTTCTTTCATACTCACCAGTTCCTAGCTCCAGATGGCAATCTACATGGATACCCCATAAATAGCTGCATTTTTCTGTCCTGTGCCTCTCTCTAGTAACCGCTGCCTTTTCCTCGCTGCCAAGCTATTGCTCTCAAGTGAGAAATGTTTTCTTCTGCTTTTTTTCTAAAAGTAGTTGAAAGAGGGAAAATGTGGTAGCTACGGTTATACATCCTGTTCCCACGTTTTGGTTTTAACTCTCTTTGGAGGCTTTGAAAGAGGTTTTAGTTTAAATCCAGTGTGCCTTGCCAGCTCGTACGCCAAGTTCCGTGTTCTTTCCCAGAGTTAGTGGCTCAGTCTGCGGAGAGGAGCTCAGTGGGAGGCAGGAGATGCTGGCTCTGGGCTAAGAGGTTGCCAGCCTGCAGGAAGAGGCTCTTGCCTCCGCATGCGGTACGGCTGCGGGCCCCTGCTGCAAAACTTTGTGCCAAGAGCTGGCAGCTGCTTCCTCGCTCCAGATTGCAGCTTCCAGCTCTCGACGCAGCTAGGCTGTGGTGCGTGCCGTTCCGCACCGGCGGCAGGGCTGGGGTTTGTACGGGAGGCACGCGTTGAAGGACTCCTGATGCGCAAGGGTGGAGGCTGCTATTTTGGAACGCAAAGCCGTTCTGAAGGAGCTTTTTGCATTTGCACCGCTCTTGGTTTGTTAATGGCCCTTCCTGTGCTCCATACTCTTCTTTATTTTTTTTTTTTTCCCTTGGAACTGCGCAGTGTAACTGCCCTTAGCCCATGTGCCTACCATCTGTGCACGAACTGGTGGGATGACCCGTAAACTAGAAATTATGTATATCCAGATGCTAGGAGTCTACAAGAAAAGATGCTGAAGAGCAGTAAAGATGATCTTTGCCCTTATAATCGAAGGCAACGGATCCTTTTTGTTACCTAAATTCTTGTTTCAGTATCACGTTGGGTGTTGGCTTTTCCTAAATGTCCACTGGAGCTGTAAGGAGGGGTTGTAATGTTTCCGCACCACTGGAACAGCTGGGTTAGATTACTGACCTGTGGTCTGTCTTTGAATCCTTGTGAAATCAGGTAATGCAAAAACATGGGCCACTGCCAGTCGTTTTTCTCAGAGTATTTTGCACTACAGAATGTCTCGTTTTCTTTGAGTGTCATCTGCAGAATGTATTGTTTTATTTGAATTTATTTCTGTGTATAACCACAAAGCTGGCAAAGTTCCCTGGCTCATGGACTTATTCTCTCTGTAAAGTCTGGTGCCACTTTGAATTCAAAACCATTTAATGGGGTGTGTGTTTTGAATGGACAGCACACAGGGCCCTACTGCTGTCTCCCTCCTGGGGCTTTTTTTTTCTGTTACAAAGTTCAATTGGCTTAACATGCAAAACTTCCATATATTCTGTGTACTGTTTATTTTATGATACTAAAGTATTATTGTTAGTTGCCACTAAAATATTCTTGACCTAAACATTGCTGAATTTAACTAAAAAATTAATCAAAATGTCCCTTGAGGGATGATGTGTGGCAGTTCTTATTTTCGTTGCCGATGTGGTGCAAATGTTGCAAAAATATTTGGAGTTGTTTTAGGGTGGGGATAGGCATACAAGTTATGGCCTATTCAGAAGAGCCATTTGACTGAATTAATGTTCAGCCTGAATCGCATCAGGTTGTACCCAGTGGCTGATTAATCTGGTAAAATTGTGCAACTCTTTAATAGACTGGAGGTTAAAGATTGTAGCAGAGAGAAGACAGCTGAGACCACCACCTTTGTGCTCCACTGAACTTGGGATGAGACTGGGACTTTGGACCCCACGGAAAAACTCATAGTCTCACGGAGCACCCTAGATTAGCAACGTCAAATGACTGTTTTGCTGCCTTGTGTTTTTGTTTTAATGAGTAGATTAAACCTGTTCTCTTTCTTGTTTGGTCATTTATCATTCCAGACTCTTTCTGCAGAAGCCTGCTACACAAGCAAAGGGAAGGGGCAGCAGGTCCTGATCTGTGAGGAGGTCCAGGTCTTGCAGGATGTGACAACCATTAACATGTAGGAGTGTTTCATTTATTATTATGTTCTGATTAAAATGTTGTAATGTCAACTGGCAATAAGGTCATCAGTTGACCTTACTGCCAGGCAACAAAGAACTGGTGAAGCAGCTTTCCACATCACTCATTTGTATTCTCTCCTAACTCCTGACTCGGGGTATTGCTGCCTACTGTCCTGATCAGTCTGTCTTTCTGTACTAGCTGGCACTTGGTAACAGTCATCTCGGTATGTACATAGACTCTGTTGGCTTGTATATCTTGACTCTCCTAAAAATATGAAACGCTTACAATACAAAGTAAAATTTAACTGATACTAGTTCCATTTCATTAAAATGCTATGTTAGGCAACAGTGTGAACACTGTTAGGAAAAAAATGGCAATAGAGAAGGAAAATGGATTTGATACAGGTAGGAGATGACTGACCTATTGCTCCTCAGTTGTGTGCAGCTTGCTAGCACTTTGCCGATGGCTCCTTGGCTGGAGTTGTGTCAGGCGATAAGCAGCCGGGTGGGGAGAGGCAGCTCCTCGGGAGCAGTGCACCCAACATCACCAGCATGCCGTAAGACTCACTTGTATGTCCTGTTCCTCAGCAGAGGAAGGAAATCTGTGGGAAACTGTGTGCAGGGCTCTCCTCAGATCTGTTCCCAGACATCTGCTGACTTTTGGGAGAATGTGTTGCAATTACCAGCCACAGCAAATCTGGGAATCAAGAAAAGTGGACACCCTTGGGCTGGGGTATGCCTTAGGAATTGCTTCCAGGAATGAACACGTGTTCTTTTTCTACTTTTTAATATGAAATTACAGATGGCACACTTGTTCTCATCAGTTTCAACTTTGCTACTTTGTGGAAATAACAAAATTCCAGTTAGATCCAATCAGCTGATAGATCCAATCAGCTGAGATAAAAGCAGGTAACTCAGTGGGATTTCTCTCTGCTACCCTTTCTTTCTTTTGAAGATCCCTGCCTCTCTAAAAATGTGAATTGACTTATACCTCCTTGAGCACTACTTCTCACAGACACTATGGAAATACTTCCTAGTATAACTATTAACTTTGAAATGATGCGTGATGTAATAGTTGCAATATTTCGAATTTCATTACACTCTTTAAATGCTGAAAGACTGTGACATGACTACTACTTTGAGTTCTTTTACTGTCTTGTTTGGAAGCATGCTGCTGTGGGCTGCCGATATGTGGTAAGAAACACAGTGAGACTAATTTTTATTCCACTTAAAAAAAAAAAAAGATAAAAGCAGGTACAGAAAGATCATGGGTGAGGCACAAACTCTTCGTAAAAATTGAGGAATAGCACTTTTGCTGAAGATGCTCTTTAAGGGCAGATCTGCACTATTCTGATGTGAATGTGGCGAGGCTGGTTTGTTGGGGTTCTTTTTGAAAGCTTAAACCTAAAAGTATTCAATGGCTGGGTATCTTACCTTGAACATGTAACATGGCTACTGCAGTTCTTCAGAGTTAAGAAAATTGAGAAGGAAAAGAAACAAGTCTAATTATGTTAGTCTATAGTAACATTATTGCATCAATTAGTGGACATAATACAGCCAGTAAACAACATTGAAAAGAATAAACGTGATGGGAAAGACCATTCTGGACCACTTGTCTATCAAATTAACATCAGTCAAATCAGGGATTTTGACTTTGATCTGGGATGCCCTTCTTCGTAAGTGTCCTTTTTTATGAAGCCTGTGCCTGTCCAGACCACTCCTACTGTAGAGGTCTCTGCTGGAAGTGGCTCTTCTGTACTGCAGGTTGGCACTGTCGTATGTGTACGTGGTGGCTCGGGCGTCGCGAAGGCTCGTGAACACGTCTGAGCTGCTGACGTCGTTTCGTATTTCAAGTGATCTAAGCAGCATGTTTCCATGGGGATCAACCTGTGTCAAGAAAGAAATGTGAATTAGACCAGTTCCTCAGCCAGCCCAAGGTGTCTCCCAAATGGACAGGTACCTTCTGGCTCTAGTGCCAAGGTGCTCCTGGGGCTGCAGCGACAGTCTTGTATAGGATCAACAGAAGTGAAAATACACTTTCCTGACTGGTGTAAAGTTATCTGTTAGGCACCTAAATATCTTCCATTCTGACCCAGCTCTTTGGTCTGGGACCTTTTCATTCAGCTAGTTATCTCATCCCCTGTAAAGTAAGAGTTTTCTAATTTTATCTTTAACTTGGATGGTGGTCTTTATGAAATACTGAGTTTCAATGTCTGGTGACCTGACACCCTAAACTTTCATGTACTCAAGATGAAAAAAAAAAAAAAAGTTGCTGTGTCTGTCAATTTTATACAGTGCTGTTTCAAGAACAGTTTTGTAACAATGATTTCATCATATGAAGAACACATAGGTACTTATGCATTTTATCAGTTATTGTAATATGCTTGTGATGAGAATTACTTCTGGAGAATTACTGTATTGCAGAGATGGAAATCCCTGCTTGCCACAGCATACCATTAACTTGTTCATGTATAGGTAGAATAATCCATTTTACTCAATGAAACCTAGCATTCAGTTGCATTTTTATATGTCAGTACCAGAAGCAGTTGTTATCACTTACTTTAGTTGTGCTGGTAGTTATTCAGGGCACTGTTTTAAGTACCCGAGTAAAGAACTGGAAACTGAAATCGTTATGTACGTCTGGTGCAAACAATATATATATTTTTATATAAAATATTTTAATATCATTGCCTTTTTTTATGTATTAATGTAATTAACCATGAATGGCTGCGTTACTACAAAGCGTTTACCTTTTCACTCATCTTTCGTTTTCTACATGTTTGTAGTAAAACCTCTTTTAGGAAAAGTTTTTTGATGTTTCCAAGATGATTCCTGACTTCTCCATAAAGACTTCCTAGACGTTTCAAATTCCCAGATATTTAAACATCCACTGGAGCTCATATGAAGGAAATACACATCAGGACACAGACCTCTTACATGAAACTTCAAAGACTTTGCCTTGAGGCTTGAGTATTAAAATTGTTTTTTGTAAACTGTGGCCTTGGACCTACCCCAAATATATTGCAGTCTATACCACAGCTGCCTGGGGATGCCTTTATACCAAGGGGAAAAAAAATTATTTATTGATAATATCTAGTCTTGTGAAGTACCAGTGATATGCAACGCTTTGTTCGCACCCTGAGCTTTACATTTTTAGCAGGACATAGCAGAGCTAGGAAATGGTGTAATAATCTACAGCAGGCTTGAAGTATGTTTGAGAAAAACTCCAAGCAGAGCACAGGAAATCCAGTCTCTGGGGGTTGCCGCAGAGGAAAGCTGGAAGCCAGAGAAAGTCTCTGTTCCACCTGGCAGTGTGGAAGATGTTCCTTCCTGTCACTAGAAGGAGAAAATGTGTGATGACTGCTGGTGTATTTGCACTGCGCCAGACTACTCACTCACTAACTGAAAACAAAGAAGTGAAGGGGATATTTGTACAAAAGCCACCCAGGAGAGCTGTGGGGAAAAAAGTCTTCTAAATGGAATAACAAGTCACCACAGATAGAAAATGCTCTAGTCAGGTTTAGCAACTGATTCTGTACACGCTGAAATGAGCATTCAGTGGGAACGTTCCACGTCCCACCACTGTTTTGCTGGAAAAAGCTCACAAATTCTGGGTTAGAGAGGTCAGATGGTCGCAAATCAGCATGGTGTTTTCAGTCTTGAGGTATGGGCTACCCAGGTTGTACTTTTTAGGTCAATTCTTCAAATTTAAGCAGAAGGAAGATCTAAGCTAGGGTTTCCTACTCTCCAGAGGACTGCTATAACTATGGGACTATTCACTACTCCTAAGTTCTGACATTTTCTGTGGAAAAAGCAATGATCTCAGAGTTGTCTCCAGGTAAAGAGAGAATTTTTTTTAATTCTCAGAAGTTTTGATAGGTCAACCTTTTCTTCCCAGTTTTACAAAATAGCTCTTTGAGCTGTCTTTGATTACATAATCTAATGTTTAAGCTAATTTACTTCAGTCTTAGAATAGTAGTAACAGTGGTGCACGCATCATTAAGCAGTTATTATGGCTTCTCTTTTGTGAAGACAACTCATAACTGCCTACGATATAAAGTGATTCATAGGCATGTTTCTTAAAATAATATGCCCTGACAGTTTATTATAAGCCAAGCAGCATATGAATTCCCACTTTAAGTGTTATGAATGCACCTGTTGTATTTTAAAATTAGTTTTATTTAAATCATTTTAGGTGCGTTGATTTGTATACATCATGAAGCAATTCAGCTTTTGAATTGCAGTCTTTGCAATTCAGAGCAAAGGGCCTTACACTGATCTTGGATAAATTAACTCAGAGAAGTATAAAAGCTCTTCTTATGCACCTGGGTCAAATTCTCTGCTTGTGTGACATGAAGCTGGACTAATAGTTAATTTCGCACATCGTTAAAAACCCTTTTAGAATTTATTGAAGTTCACTCAAAAACATTCTTAAAACTCGTGCAGCTGAGGCTTTGTAACTGAAGCATAGGAATTCTACAAATTCCCGTAGGAATCTGAAAAATGTGCAAATTCCTTGTAATTTGGCTTGTTATTAGTTTTGTTTATATTAATGTTAGAAGGAGTTAACAGGAAATATGCGCACAGTAGATGCTGTAAATTTTGTCTCTTAAAATCTTTTCTCCCTTACTTAATTCAAGGTTACCTGGGGCTTGCTGTTGGTCCTGTGCTGGAGGAAGCCTGTGCAGCAGAAATGGTCAGCAGGCTTTGATTCATTGCACCCCATGTCTCAGTGATAAGGCTCTTTCCCCGCGTCAGGTGTGTACTGCAGTTGTACACAGTCTTTGACACATTTGCATCAGACGGCATGACAAAAAATGGGGGTAGAAGAGACAAGGCTCCGTCTGCCCAGTTTTCTGGCCTGCTAGCTGGCTGCCTGCTTAGGAGTAGAGTATCTCAGTCCCCTCCTGTCCTGGTTTCAGCCAGGGTAGAGTTAATTTTCTTCATAGAAGCTAGCGTGAGGCTGTGTTTTGGATTTGGGATGAGAAAAAGTTGATAAAGTGCTGATGTTTTGAGTTGTTGCTAAGTAGTCAAGGACAGTCCAGCTTCTCGTGCTGGGCTGCAGCGAGCAGGCTGGGGGTGCACGGGGAGCTGGGAGGGGACACAGCCGGGACAGCTGACCCAGGCTGGCCAAAGAGATATTCCATACCATATAATGTCATGCTCGGTATATAAAGCTGGGACGAAGAAGAAGGAAGGGGTGGAGGGACGTTCGGAGTTATGGCGTCTGTCTTCCCAAGAAACCATTGCGGGTGATTGAGCCCTGCTTCCCTGGAGATGGCTGAGCACCTGCCTGCCCATGGGGAGTGGTGAACGAATTCCTTGTTTTGCTTTGCTTGCATGCGCGGCTTTTGCTTTACCTGTTAAACTGTCTTTATCTCAAACCACGAGTTTCCTCACTTTTACTATTACGATTCTCTCCCCCGTCCCACCGTGGGGGAGTGAGCGAGCAGCTGCGTGGGGCTTGGTTGCTGGCTGGGGCTAAACCACGACACCTCCTTAGATAGGAAAGATGAGCCATATCAAGCCCAGTGTACTTCTTCCTTGCTCTGATAGAACCCACATATTCTTTCAAATACCACCTTGTTCTTTAACTGGAATGCCCTAAATCTTATTACATAAACCGACCATTGCTCAGATGGAAACAGGATTTCTTGCTTAACAGATATTCTGAGCTTAAATGTGTGTTTGCATGAACATATACACTTTGCCTTATTTGTACTATGCATAAATTTTTCCTAAAGTTGTAGAAAGCCAAAGAAGAATTGGTGGGTTTTTTTGTCTTTTGAACATAACATGAAGAATATGTAAGAAGGATGTCAAAGCATCTAAAACTGACATTGTGTTAGTCATCTGGTATAATTATCAAAGTTCAGATATTCTTCAGATGGTTATATGTGGTGAAGCTTCTTGTAATGATGTTTGTATCTATATTGAGTTTGTATCTACATTAACTTTATAGATTTTTAATTCTTTGCACTGGAATCACCTAAACCCTAAATCAACACAGGTACATCTATATGAATCTTCATCAATGATGGAAAAGCCTTGATGTATGCTCAGGAAACATTGTAAAAAGAAATAAAAATCTGGATTGTGAGTTTACTTAGAAAATGAGCTTCCTGCTTAGGGGCATCTAAATGATACTGTAAGCGTAAAATAGTTAAAGTAATAAAAAAACCCTTCAAAGCAACAGTCCTGTGTTGGCCACATAAAAAGTAGTCAGTCATCTCTATGGAAAGAACATGTTGGCATTCCTTGACAGAGGATGGGTCTCAAATGCTTAGTGCTGTCTGGAATAGGTTTTTACCTACCTACTTTTTTTACCTTAACTGTTGGGAGTTAAATGGGAAGAACTTTTGTTTTGTCTCAATGCAGAAACATCTTTTCTTTCTCTTAAGATGAAAGGGCCATGTTACATACAAGCTGTCTTGTCAGAACAATGCAGTAGTGGTATCACAATCTGATCTGCAAAGAAACAGGTTACGCTCAGCAGGGATAAACTTATTCAGGTGAGCTAGTGGTATGGTTGTGTGCTCACTCCTTTTTCTCCTTCCAGTAGCCACTGTACTGGAAAATTGTGTGTTTTCCTTGGAGTCTGTGGCTGGTCTCTGGCTTTCCATCCCAGGTGTTTTTTTTGTTCACAGAAGGTTTGAAAGGAAGATGTGATACTGGGGAAACAGAAGCAGTTGCATGCATGGACCATTATTTTCTTGCTGGGTGGTTTGTCCTATTTATCCATAATTATGGTGGTTTCCTCAGTGACATCTAGCTTCGACAAACAGACAAGGAGATATAAGCAGTGTTTATGCTTTATTCAAAAGAACAGCAAGATTGTTTTCTACAAATTTATATTTTTTGTGTAATAAAAATTAAAATGGCATAGATTGTGAAACTGGAGAGGCCTCATTTCCACTTTCTTCAGTCTGTAGAGCGAGGAACAGCCACATATGAAACAGCAGGATAGTTTCATTTTCCAGCTGGTCTTCTCTATGCTGTGTTAGTATCACGGTCAGTTTGCAGAGCGTTGCTCACATGTCTAATGCTTTTGTTATCTGGTGAAGGAAGTTGAACTCTTTTAGTAGTGGAGGTTGTATGTCAGATGGGAATGAGCAATATCTTCCCCTGGCACAAAGAGAGGAAGCACTGTTACATATGTTCTACTCGGTTTTGGTCCCTGTATGGATAAATGGTATGGGTCAAGAGTAAAAGGGAAAAAAGTATCCTACAGCTGTACATACTTACAGCTGTACTACTTTTGTGCTTGAAACAACTTTCCCCTGCTCTGGTACAGACCATCATAATACCAGTGCATAATAGCAAAAGATTTTGGAGAGGGCCTGAGAGCTGTCTGCACTAGAGATCACACAGTCTGACTGTTCCGGTCATCTGCATTCTTCCTGCTAATGTCAGCATTTCCACGCTGAGTAAAATGAGTGCTCACAAGGTCTCACATCGATGTATCTCCAGTGGGATAACAAAACCTATTGATATCCATTAATGTGTGTGTGTCTATGTGTATGTGCGTATATGTATATATATTTAAAATCACAAACCAGCACTGTCCAGGCAGAAAGCAGTCTGTTCACCTACAGCATTCTCAGTCTCAGAATGGAATTGCAGTCTAAAGTGTGAACGCTTACAAATCTGGGTACAAAACATCTATGCCTTACATTTTCTGGCAGAAAAATGCTGGTGTATGCATGTGGTGCTCTGAAAAGTTCAAGTGTGGTTGTAAATAATTTCCACCCCATTCTGATGGTCTGGTCTCAGTGTAATCCTTGCCAGCGTAACATTTAGACAAAAGCTTTTAGTCATGAGTTAAGGCTTTTTGTCAGTTAAACTCTCCAAATATGTAGGAAAAAGAGCTTACCTGCACTCTTATCCTTTACAATTTCTCATTCTTCACTCAGTTCAGTGCACTGGGGCCCATATAGCCAAGGCTGACCTCTGAAGAAATGTTGCTTCCCTCTTCATCATGAACCCTTGCTGTTGTTCTCCCCTAGGCTGGGTTAGCTCAGGAGCTGTTGTGGTGGCTGGTCCCAGTTTGTGGGTTTTGTTGGGGTTTTTTTGTTGTGTTTTTTTTTTCCCTTCCTTATCTTCCATAGAATTGGATAGACAATACCTGCCCACAACAATCCGTAACAGGGTGGCTTGTCTCCTCTGCTCTGTGGAGGACAATACTTTGTGGGACCTTGGAGACTGCTGCAAGCCTGAACTGAATTTGTGCACTCACTGTAGTAAAGCATCTCCTACATGCTGGGAAAGGAGGTGGATGTGGGTAAGGACTTTTAACGGGCTCATGAGTTCACTGGGACTGAGAGCATGATGACTCTGTTAATGATGTCGCAGCTTCGCCGTAGCGGTGTGGCTGCTGGGACACAAGACACACAACTCTAAAACTAATAAAATATCACAGAGCTTCTGAACATGTATGTGAAGTTGCAACCATCCATCAAGCTAATGTCTTACCTGTTAGAGTTTTATTCTCTCATGCTTCAAGCTGAACAGAGGATTCAAATACAGTTTTGTCCAAATGTTATCACCTTAGGCCACAACAGCACCGAAGTCGATAGGGCAGCCTGGGTAAGGCCTCATTAATACTTGAATATAATATATTGTATGAAAAGCAGAGAGCAGAATAAAGTTTTTGGCTCATTAGTGTATGTATTTTCCTCTGAGTCAGACTGAGCCAAATACACCTGAGGGAAGTGTTTATTTCTGAAAACCTGGAATAGTTTGTGGAAGTTTGCAAGTGCTCAGTGATATGCTGCTACATTAAACTTTTCCCTGTAAAAAATGCCCATAGTCTTACTTCCTGGAGTTTGTCTGGCTTTTTTTTTTTTTTTTTTTAAGAGGGTGTAGCTGTGGTCTGCTTGAATTTAGCCTGAGGGAAAAATCCTAACACCTGTGAAAGCTGTTATAATCTAGCAGCATCCTCCTTGTGTTCCTGAAAGCTCAGCGGTGCGGGCTTCATTCAAGACTCACTGCAGCAACAGTGTCTGTCTTTTCTTTCTAGTTTTGGTGAAGTTTCTGTATGTGAAGAGGAACTGTATAATAAACATTCATTCTATACCACCTTCTATAGCAAAAAAATACAGAGTTGAAATGGTAAATATTTAAATTCCTTGTACCCCTTGTATTTCTTCTGTTCTGCAAAGAAATTCTTGTTCTGAATATTCATTTGCATTTTCTGTAGTTTCTTACTCTGTTTTCAGTTGAAGATGGAACAAACTATATATTGCTGTAATCTCCTTAAAATACGATTTTGCTCTAAACAATCTTACATGCTTTTGCATATGTGTTCAAACTGCATTTATCTCTAACACCATATACATCAACATTATCACAGCAGAAATAACGTTTGAAAAGTCAGCTTGAACATTTTACCTGGACTCTATTAGTTTCCAGTCTGCTCTTCTCGCCTGTTGCACGTCCTTCCCTTCCTGCTGCCTTTTTTTGACGTTGGGGCCCTTTCCCAAAGAATATATAGTTTACAAAGGCATATTCCAGCAAGGCCAGGAACACAAACACAAAGCATCCCATCAGGTAAATATCTATTGCCTTGACGTAGGGAATCTTTGGCAAAGTCTCCCTGAGGTGTGTGCTGATGGTGGTCATGGTCAGCACAGTTGTGATTCCTGCAAAAGGAAGAAAAGGGCATTGACTAACAAGACAGAGAAGGAGATTTGAGTGTGAAAGGTGTAATGGCAGCATTGCCCAGCTACCATGCACTTTTCATGCCGGTGGCTTAATTATTATGTGATCAGATTCTTTACAGCCAAGGGAATGCGTTTTGCAGGAATGGGAAAGAAGATGCCTTGGCAACAGAAAGTCAGCAAAATAGCCTTCAAAATTTCAGGTTATCTTGGTACATCTTTCCTTAATTTTTACAATAACGCTGTTAGGGAATGTGTTTTTAGCTGACCCGGATAGCAAAGAGTTGATCGCTGTTCTTTCTGTGTGAGGAAATGCTTCTCGATTTATTTAGAGCAGTAGCACTGCTTGACCCCAGAAGGTGGCTTGCATTGCTCCGGGGAGCTGGAATAAGTATCTAGCTTTTGACTCAAAACAGAGGACTGAAAGGTGCAAGAGGAACTTTATCATCAAATGATGGCCTTTGGTGAAGAAAAGGTGATACACTTGTGCCAAAACAGCTTTGCTTGTTAAAGGGGTTCTTGGAAGTAAAGCATTCCCATCTTGTCACGTTATCCATCACTGCAGGATTCTTTCTTTCCTTTTTTTTTTGTTTTTGTTTTATTTTAGCTCGATGAAATTATTTTTTAGCCTGCTATAATCACGGGTCGTTAATGCATCTAGATAATAGCTCTAGGCACAGGTATGATGAGTTGAATTTACAGAGAGGTGGGACAAAACAGAGGTGGGACAAAAAGGCTTTCTGGCATTTGAAAAGCATATCTGCCCTAAAGGGCATGTGGTGGCAGAAGATATTGGTTCTTATGGCAAGTTGTAGGAAAGAACACGGTATGGGAAATAAGCAACTATGTAGGTAAAACAGGCTTATGTGATGTAAGCTGGTATATCTCCACTGATCTTGTATATTCAAGTAGGATCTTGTATATTCATTCCAGCCACATATCTGGCCTGAGAGGATGCTTTTTAACATCAACAAAATATTGATGCAGCAGGATGTAGATACCCTTAGAAACCTGAATTAGACCTTTACGCTTCAGTTTGGAAGCGAGATACTTCTGGCCTGATTCAAAGACTATTATGGCCACTGGAAGTCAGTCAGGATCCCAGCCTAACTGCAGAGCAAGAGCTTCAGATGTAGGCAAGGTGACACCCTCCTGCCTTCCTGACAACGAAAACCCTACTCTGCATGTGTCAGGTCACAGCTAGTGCTGCTGCAATCAGCTGTATGGATTTGGTGCTACTGTGTTCAAAGGCAACAAGTATCTATGTAGTTCAGTGATTTTGAAAAGAAGTTACCTAGAGCAACTCTGGCTGCAGAGGCGTCATAATTGATCCAAAAAGATACCCACGACAGGATTGTGATCAGTGTGGAAGGCATATAGGTTTGCAAAATGAAGTATCCAATGTTTCTTTTAAGCCGGAAGCTAAGTGATAATCGAGGGTATGCTCCTGAAAGAAAGAAGTCATATAATGACTAATGCCATACAAAAGTTAGACACTGGTATTCCTGGCTGGGGGAAAGTTGGGGGGACCTTTTTTAACTAGCCAGTGCTTACCTGTTGTAAATTCCACTCTCTTTGATACCATCTTGTAATCAACAATAGAAAATTGTGGGAGCTCGATGTTATTAACTCCCGTTACTGCAGACTCTCCTCCATTCCAGTAAAATTCGATATCGTCAGTAGTGTATCCATCTGAAACAGAGGCACAATTTGACTATTGATTTCTCTTTTTGCTTTACTACTTGGCTTAAATAGTTGTGGTTAAAGTGAAAGGAGCTGCTGTTAATCAGGAATTCAGCCTTCTGTTGTGTGACATTTCTGTTGTACGGAAGCCATGTAGCTTCCTCTGTACCCAGGGGAAGCTTCTGGGTGTGGAAAGGGAGAAGACGGAAAACAAGGACAGAATTTAAGATTAAAGAACAATTTTTAGCTAGCTCTAATACTACTACTTTTAGTTCAGTCTTGAGTTTCTCAGTTTACCAACAGACTGATACAACATCAGAGAAACTTTTAAACTCTTTAGGAGGAGTTCTGATGCTAAAACTAGGTTCAGTTCCCAGCTTTGCATTTGATTTTCCATGCAGTCCATTTCAAAGTACAGAATTTGGGGCTGGTGGAGGCAAAGATGATGCTAGAAGAATTCAGGTGTCTGTACTACCTGACAATGTCTATCTGAGCTGTAGGTATCCCTTTGATATTCATGCAGCATTTTCTGTTTTAATTAGACCATGCCATCTTTGATCTTCTTATCACAGAAGTATTTCCTATTGACTTCAAAACTAGCACATTCCTTTCCTTTCCTTTTAATAGTGATGTTGATTATTTATCATTTAATGAAAAATTAATTTGCCATTCCACCACTAGGAATGTTATCATTATTGTTACTTTTTTCAAACACATTCTGATTAAACTCAAAAGTGACTGAGTTTCAAAAAAATCTCACGATTTATGACGTTTTTGAACTAATAGTTAAACTGGTCCCAATTTATTGCATTTTACTACTTTCTCCAGATATCTACCAAAGGAGAGAACATGATCTCATCTATTTTTAGACTTTTCCTCAAGATGTTAGATTTAATCAGGTTTAAATCATATAACACAGATCAAATAAAAAAATGTGTTTCAACTCAAAGCTTAAGAAAACTTGACAATATTTTTGCCAACTGAGCCAGCCATAGCATCAGAAGCCTATAAGAGTTAGGAACTTACCCTTTCTTATGCACCAGTAATGCAATTTTTAGCTAGGGAAATCAGACTTGAGATGTCTTTCCC